AATTGAAACTCAAGTAGAATCAAGTTGTGCATGGTTGGTTGATTTCCTCTAATTGGATGCCCATGATATGCATAGGAGGAAAACATCTATTCATATTCTTGGCTACTCATTCAATCTCCTAGTCAATTATAATAGCAAAAAAATGAAATAAAATACAAACTAAACAGGTCATATACTATTGCAGACCAAATTTTGCTCGATTTTACATGATATCTTGATCAAGAATCGATAATAAGAATGATGCTGTTTCTGCTACCTAAAAAATAACATCAACTTTGATCTATATTGTTGTATAATAAATTCAATTCTTTGATCAAACTGATTTCAGATCACAAGTGAATAAATAGCATAATCATAACAAGATTATGCATTAAAAAAAATTATAAATCAATCATCTGAATTGTCTAATCGAAATTCATTTCCCAATGATGAACAAACTTAGTGAAGGTCCAATGATGACCTCCGGTCAAATCAAAACCAAAAAAGATGAATAAAACCATCTAAAACGAAATTTTACTACCAAATATCTTGCTACAGATGCTGATAAAAAAATCGGTAAAGTATTGATCGATTTGTTTTATATAGTTGATCTAAAATCTTTTGTTTTATTCCTTATTATGTTAAGTTACATTGAAACTCATATTAACAAATCAAATCTCTACAGTTTGATTATCATAAACTCTAAAATTCAATCCACATCAAAGTCAAATCATGATCATCATCATCTAAGTTTTATCCCTATTATTTAGGTTCGGTACACGAATGCTATTCTACCATTCTTCTCTATAAAGGGTTATATCTTTAGTCAAACCATAAGTCAACATGTTTTTACTCACTATTTCCATACATGTTATTTTGGGCCTTACTATTGTCTTTTTAGAACCTTCCACTTGAACCAAATTACCCCTCTTAACTGGTGTAGTTCTAAGTCAATGTTGCATATAATCATATCGTATCAAAACCAAATTAGGAGTATAATTCGACCATGTCAAATTCAGATCCAATGTAGTAATTAATTGGGGTAGGGCTATTCAACATCCAGTAGCAAAGCTCACTTATCACTGATAATTAACTTAAAGTTATAAATAAGAAAAGATTAACCCAAATCCAAAGAATCCCAAAAACTCCACATATAACAGATCAAATACTGGAGAGAGAACAAAGAGAGCAAGGGGAGAGAGAGATTGTGGGCTGATGGAGAGAGTAGAAGAGGGAGAGAAAAATTTGCTCTAAAATTTGTACTTAAACCCAAGGTGATAGTTATAACTCACTTCAAAATCAAGCTTCACATAAAACAACTATACATAATTTATTATCCTTAGTGCCCATGTGTGGCCAAAATGTTGTATCCCTGTAAAACCCAATTTGAGAAAATATCATTAAAAAGGGTTAAACCCCTTGCAATATCATTTAAAGGGGATCATATTCTTTTCAGTAGCATTTTAGGGTATGTTTTTATGTTTTCAATTCAACTAGATATTTCTTCAATTAAAAATAATAATAACAAAATACCCAAATTGTCTTTATTTGGTATTTGGATCGCGGAACAATCATAGGGATATCAATGACCTCTAAGAGGCCTCAACCAAATGACAGAAATACCCTTAGTTGTTCAACGTTATTTAAATAAAGAACATATTGTTCAACATTAGTAATGCATAACAATTATGATTATTTTTATCATTTTACACAAACACTTTGCATGTATCAAATTATGAATATTAAAGAGTATGTTTCTTATTTTGTAATACAGAACAATTAGATGTATTTTTGTCATCCGGTTAAGAACTCTTTGAGGTCAAATTATTGAAATGCCATCATGGTTCCTATTTTAAATACCAGACAATGGCAATTTGGGTATTTAAAAAAAAGAACATGTATCTAAGTGAAATAAAAAGAAAAAATATCCTCAAATGATAATAAGGATAATTTGGCCCCTTTAATGATTTTTTAAGGGGGTTTATGCCCTTTACTGATATTTTCCCCTCTAGAATCCAAATAAACACTCACTTTTGTGTATGAAATATATCTGTTTGCATGTACGAGAGGGAGAGAGTGTATTTTGCGTGTAAATGAGAAAGAATGTGTGCTTGTATATATGTATGTGAGTGCAGGAAAAATTACATACAGGCCATAAGACTTTTTTGGTCTTACGTAATGGTCTAGGTTTTGAAAAACTTGTGGACGTCCTTCTTTTTCGTTTCTTTTAATTTTTCTGATTCTCCCCATGGTACACTGTTGCAACCAGCCGGGTTTTTACTTTTTATGTTTTTTCTTGAACCCTAGGGCGGTCATGGAAGCCAAAGGTTAACTTTAAAGTTGGGTTGTTCGCCATCATAAATAACGTGCCACTCCATGGTAGTCATCTTTTCATTTTTTTACGCAGTCCTGTAATTTAAACATTGGACCAATTGCCTATCTTATAACTTGTTTAAACATAGTCCAATGGTAGCAAAATCGAACCGGACTAATTTGTTCTTGTTTTTTTTCTTTTCGTTAAAAAGTGGCTGGATGTTTAAGATATTAGACTGACCCTTATGTGTGTGTGTATGTGTGTAATGAGAAGGTTGTCTTTCATCCCCAAAATCCTCTCTCATCAAATATCTTCATCCTAGATAAAGGTCAGGTTTGAATTAGAGCAAAAGCCCTAATTCGATTTTCCCAACCAAAAAATATATATACTTAAGAGGCGATTCGATATTTCAAACATCTAACTGCTTTTTTAATGAAACAAAAACAACTTAGGCTAGTCTCATATTGCAACCATTGGATCATATTTAAATAAAAAATAAAAAAAAATAAAGGGTCACTATGATGCTTGAATCATTAGACTATAAATTTAAGTTGTCTAATATTTCAAACATGAGACCAACCAAAACTAACCTCTGAGCTCCAGGACAGCCCGAGAGTTCAACATGGTTTTGTAGTATCAAACTAGGGAGAAAAATAGAAGAATAAAGGAAAAACAAAACAAATAGGATCTTTGCATAACTTTTTAAAAATATCGGACCATTACATGGAAAAATCTACTCCTTAGGCACATAATATCTTGGGAAAATTACAAAAAACCCCAAGCCCACACTTGTAATGCAACTTACCCCCAACATGACTTTTTCTCTCATTTTTGCCCCCAAAATAAACTTTGAATGTAAATACCCCCCAAAGAAAAAAATTCATTTTTTTTAGATGGAAATGCCTTTTCCTCTATACAAAAATAATTTTGGTTAGATTTGTCGTTGATTTTGGACCCCAATAGCACATTACTGGAGCGCACTATCGCATTGCTGGAGGAGCGCACCATCGCATTGCCGGACTGCCTTTTACAAAAACTTAAGTGTCAGATAGCTTTTACAAAAACTTAAGTGTCAGACCGCCCTAACACAACTACCGGACCAAAACTAAGTACTGCCAGACCGATCTTTATATAGTACTGACGGAGAGAGAGGCATGGGTAAGGTAAACGTAAAGGAGTGTAGTTTAGGCATTTTTTTAATTTTTTATTTGATGAGGGGGTATTTACCTAAAAAGTATATTTTGAAGTAAAAAGTGAGGAATAAAGTTAGGTTGGGTGTAAGTTACATAGAAAGTATATAGTGTAAGAAGCTTTTTGTAATTTTCCTTAATATCTTTAATAGGAGTGTATAATAATGAGTGGGTGCATGTGTGTGCAAGAGTGAGAGTGTAAGAGAGAGGTTGTGTGCTATGTTGTAGAGAGAGATAGGAGGACAGTGCGCGTGCATGAGAGAGAGAATGGTAGGAGTGACAGAGGGGAAAGTAAAAAAACGACCCATCGAATCACACCAACTGCGCATGCATTTTGCAATGTAAGCACAATCAGAAGCTTCAGAAGAAGAATCAAATTCCTAGAGAGAGAAAGAAGAGAGAGAGTGTGTGGGGTTTGGAAAACTGTTTAGCCCTTACAAGTGTAGGAGGGGCCCCAAAAAGAAACCGCGTACAAAATGGATTTGTTTGGAATCACCCACTTCACATGCCCCTTGTCCACCTGCTCTCTCCTCTTCCAATGTCTCTTGCTTGGGTTGTTCACTTTTCATCCATCCCTACACATTTTTCTCTCTCTCTCTAAATTCTCTCTCTAGATTTTTGATTTTCACTTCATCCTCAACTCATCTCTCTCATCTACATCAACTATTGCTCCCAAAACCTGCTAGGGCGACTCGGACCAAGCGTGGCTATGTCGGTTTTGGTTGGTTAGGGGTGGTCAAGCTGGGGATTTTAAAAAAATTTAAAAATATTTTATAAAAAATCTAAAAAATAAGAAAATTTAATTTGTAATAAGGTTTTTAATAGCTTTTATCGTTTTTGTGTAAAAGATTGATAAGTATTTTTGCCATAACTATTTATTTTTATATTTTTGCTATTTTAGATAATTTCAAAAGTACCCCTAAACACAAAGTGATTTATCAGAATTCATTTTTTCAATGCTTTTTATTATACTTCAACATACTCTTCATGTTCTTTTTGGATTTTTTGAATTTTTTTTTTTTAAAATTTAACCCTTTTTAGCCTCTGTGACTTGCCTGGTTCTACCGAGACTGGTTTCAGGTTACCCAGACCCGGCCCATAGCCGGGTTCGGTTTAGTTTTCTAACGCTGACATCCACCCCAACACATTAATCTCTCTCATCCACCCCAACACATTAATCTCTCTCATCCACCCCATTACACTAATCTTTCTCTCACACTAATATTTCTCTCTCATCCAACCCAACACATTAATCTCTCTCATCCGCCCATTACACTAATCTTTCTCTCTCCAACTTCTAAGAACCTTTAATCTCTCTCTCTCTAACTTCTAAGAACCTTCTTAGAGTGGTTGATCGAACCCAAACCCCTAATTATCTTCAATACTTTTTTAGCCATTAATCTACTATTTTACCCACCCAAACCAAGGAAATCTCTCTCTCTCTCTCTCTCTCTTTCTCTCCTCTCTCTCATCTAAACCAAGGAAAGCTCTCTCCCTCTCTCTCATCCAAACCAAGGAAATTCTCTCTCATCCAAACGAAGGAAACCTCTCTCTATCTTTCTCTCTCTAGCCCACATCATCCTTGTTCAAGACAAGAAAACTTTCTCTCACTAGGCCATACTACTAATGGGAAGTCTCCCCTCTTGTGTGGGTTGCAATGTCACGAGATGTCTTAAGACTCTTAACCAAGTTGATGAGCTTGGAGGTGCCATGGAGGTTCCTCAAAATTCTAATGCAACAGCAAGGGTGGTTCCCTTGTCTTTCTCGCCGGAAAATGGATCATTGGTTGCCGGAAAAGCAATTCAAATGCTAAAATTTGTTGGAAAAATGGTCGGAAAATGCGGTAGCACAAGATCGTGGAAGGAAGTAGAGGCATGCTTTGATAAGTTGGCAGTTGTTTCCCCGGAAAATGGCTGGGTTCCGGCGATATCACGGTCAGATTTTCCAGAATGCATTGGTGAGAGAAAATACTGGGAAGTAATGTGGTAGCATTTCAATGATATGTGACCATTGTGATTTCTTTGGTGTAATTAAGGCTAGTGCATATTCCTTTTTATAGATTTTTTGTATGAGAGAGATGGATTGATTGCCTCTGGTTAGTGTTTTTTTATTTCTTCTTTTCTTTATTTTTTCGTCTTTTCAATTCGCGAGTGGACCAAAATTCAATGTCCGATTCAAAACGGCCCGAGTTACTCAGACTCAGCAAAGTGTCCGGAACCAAATCCATTGGAACTGGATGAGTCTTTTTGGTTACTAATATTTTCATTACTAAGTTATTAGCACTTGGCCGAGTCCAAGTTTCCTGACTAACAAAGAATGCATCTCTTTTCTTTTTTTTTTTCTTTTTTCTTTTTTTTTTAATATATAATTCTACTGGCTTATTGAAATAGTGAAATTATTTTCCATCCTCATTAGTATTTATGAACTCTTTCTGTTTCATCTTTTTCAAAGGAATGAAGGAGAGCAGAGAATTTGGAGACCAGCTGCTTCAAGCCTTAACAAGAAGGAGAGGTTCTCAAAAAGTCATTTCCAAACAAGAGCTCCATTATTACTGGTCTACAATAACTGACCCCAGTTTTAAATCAAGAATCAGCATTTTTTTTGACCTGTGAGAATATATTTACTTTCATTTCTAAAAAATATTTTTAGTGTCCTAGACTTTAAACATTATGCAAAATAATCAATTGAGTGGTTGGCTTTTCCCTTTTCTCTCTTTTAAGCTATGGCACTATTTTAAGAATTCAAATATTCATTTTTTTTTTTTCTTTTTCTATCTAGCTTTCTATTTTTGTTACACTTTCCCATGATTAATGCCTCCTATCTCTGTTTAAGGTGCGATAAAGACATGGATGGAAAAATTTCTGAGACAGAAATCAAGGAGGTTAGTAGGAGAATTTTATCTGTTTTGTCAATTTATTTGATTGAGATGTAAAACATGCGCTTCGGAAGCACGCTATACACTTACTCCCTCGGGTAAAGGACTTGCTTAAGAGAATTTTTCGATCCGGTGCCAATACCAGATGAGTAATTTCGAAATACAGATTTGGGGTTACCAAACACTTAGATCCGATTATCCAAGAACTAGATTAGATGGTATTTGAGAAATTATTTTTTCATAAACATATGGAATGCATTAATTTATTTTATTATTTTTTGTCAAAAGAATTCACACTTTTGTGGAAGTATATTGTCAATTTACTCCTTTGGAAAAAATTTATGTTAGGAATATTTTTTAGATCTCAAATTTTGGGGATATAATTTCTAAAACCTAAGGATCAATCTCAATGAAAAAACTCTAAAGATCTAGATGTTCAAGAACTCGAAATTCAATCCTTTTCCTTTGAGAACAATGAATCCCAAAATTTTAATAAAAAAGATGCACTCCGAGATAGCTATTTTGCTCTAGTGAGTTGCTGTACAGTTTGCTCCCACAAGAGCATGCTTTATGTACCTTAGGGAGTGAATATAAGATATGCTCCGTAGAAAGCATATAACTTTTGGTTTATTTTATTGTTTTGGATTTTATTTATTTATTTCTTGATTAAGCATGAATCAATCTCTCTCTCTCTCTCTCTCTCAGGTCATCTTGTAAGTGCTTCCACAAATAAGCTGGAGATACTGGAGGAAGATGCTGAGGATTATGCTAGTATCATTATGGAGGAGCTTGACCATGAAAACCTCGGCCACATAGGGGTATTTTTATTTTTTATGACGAAATTCAGGAAAGGAAATTTAGGGGTGGGACTGGACCAGGGCCTGACCCGGGACCAACCCGGGTTCGGGTATCGGTCCAAAAATTAGAATTGGTGGGTTGGGTCTATGTCCATATGGACCCGATCCAAATAGTGTTATTATTTATATTATAGTAGCATTTAAATGATACATAAATGAATATAACTATATATTTTTAATTATAATATTTAAATAATATATGTATATATTTAACATAATATTTAAATATATTGAAATATATATTTGTTTTATTTTACTTTTGGTTGGGTCCAAGTCTGCGTTTGGGTCCAATAACTTTGGGTTCGGTCGGATCCGGGTCTGGTTCTGAATCCCATAAATTTTTTTTGGGTCAGAATCCGGCCGAATTTAGACTTGACCTGACCTGTTGCCACCCATAAGGAAATTGAAATAAAGAATTATATATTATGAAACCATTTATTTTTTGTACAAAGAAATCACAATAATTTTTAACTATTATATGTGAAATTCAATCGATGAAAGTGTGTTATTACAGCAAAAAAATTTTATTTTAGACTTTATGTTAACCTCCACCAACCGATTTTAAATCTAAGAGTTAATAATATTTGTGATCTCATAACTTAATATTGTATATATATTTTGAAATAAATAATGTTCCTTTTATTCTTTTGTGCAAAGAAAACAACATTGTTAAGGTTTAGAGTTTGAGGGGTCTAATCATTGCTAAAGTGCACATGGCCCATTGGCATCATTCTGAATTGACGTCGTAAAAAAGTAGAAAAGCTTAATTTTAACTAGGGCTTTTATTTTCTGGTGGCCAAGCACCGAAAACACTCAATTATTTTGGCTTTTTCTTTGTTGGACGTCATTTTGGCATTTTTCATCTTTGAAAATTTAAATTTGTGATTTGATTTTGAAATTAGACGGCACAATGGTTTTCAACAACCATGTGGACATGTGTGTCCACAGTTATTTTCACGTGTCGACGCATCAAAGATCCGATGATAGTCATTAGGACTAGACCAAAGCACTTATTATGACCATTAAAACAATGCTAGTCAAAATTAATATTTGATTGGTTTTTTACTAATCAAACCATCTAATTTTGACCAATTTAATTAGTTAAATAAAATGAAAAAAATTTATTTATATTATATTTTATATATTTAAGTTATTTTTTTAAAAAAATCTAATACTACTAGTTCACAAAATTGTCAAATCAATTTTGACTGGATCAAATCTCTAACCATTTTGATGTTTAGTCCGATCTTGATAACACTCATATGATATCTATATTTGTCACATTAGTGACTTAGACATGACTTTGACTTTTTTCTTGGAACCCGCTATAAAGTATTTAATATAACCTAAAATCTTGACCTCCTCTTTATTTATTGGGAAATGATTTCACCATCACTATATCATTGTAATATACTAAAATGAAAAAAGTTTATATAAGGTTGCAACCTTAAAATGTAGAATTATAGATGCACCTTAAAACTCCATCGGAAAATATTGTTTTAATGTTGAAAAAACCTCTAATTGATCATCTTAACATCGAGATGTATGAATATGAAAAATAAAATAAAATTTGATTTTAAAAAATAGTGCATCTTGCAATACATTATCTAGACCGTCTATTTTCAAGATTTTCATATGTTTATAGATCTACTTGATTTTAACCATTTTTGAAGTTTAAAATTTTATAATTAGAAATGAAAATAGATTTTGAAATAATCCTAAGAATGTTTTCACCAAAATTACATGTTATGATAAAATTTGGAGGTGCGCCTTAATTGGATTGTTTAAGGTTGCAAACTTATAGAAACCACACCCTAATAAAATTACACTTTTAGACCCCAAATTTTGCGCATACACTCTTTTTATTCCAATGATCAATTCAAAAAAAATAAAAATTCAAGATGCACCCTGAATAGGGTCACAATGAGTCCCTACCAACAACAAATATAGACCAAACATTTGGTGAATTTCAAGATCTAAGCTTTTACGAATTCAAAAAATCAATATTTTTAATATTGTTAATTTAATAATAATAAAGCTATCTAAAAATTTTGGAAATAAAATAATAATTTTCCAAGGCCTAGATCTAAGCATAAAAAAATTTGGCATATATTAATTGGACTAAAAACTTACTTTTTAGAATGTATTTTCAAATTTTGCACTTCTGCAATTGTTCATTAGAATGAAAAGAGTACGTATTTAAAATTTACAGTCAAACAAATGGCTCTAACATTATTTTTGAAGATTGTTTCACTATATTACTATAGAACCGTCGCATGAACTTGCTCCCCTTATTTAAAATGTTTCACAGAAATGTTGTGTCTAAAAAACCAATGCTGATACTGACCGCTTAGTGACATACTCGCACATATACATGCATCAATGTTGAATCCACAAAGTTTCCCTTGTATTGCAAGGCCTTACTAACTGATGCAATTACCCTGTTGCAGTTATCCCAACTTGAAGAATTCTTCAAGGAACTTTTCTCATCAGAATCTTATGAACATGGATACATTCCCAAGTGGATTTATACTAACCCAATTCAAAGGATCATCTCACATTTCACAATTGAGATCCAAACACATTGGCGCAGAGCATGGATAATATTGGCTTGGTTGCTGGCCTGTGCTTCTCTTTTTGCCTGGAAATTCATGCAATATAAGCAAAGTTTGCCTTTTGAAGTCATGGGTTATTGTCTCTGCACAGCCAAAGGGGCTGCTGAGACCCTCAAACTCAACATGGCTCTGATCCTCCTTCCTGTCTGTCGAAATACGATCACGTGGCTCCGGCAAAACCGTTGGATTAGTTCGGTTATTCCATTTAATGACAATATCAATTTCCATAAGGTAACCTTAGGTCATGCTATTTTCCTTATTATGACAAATTGCAAATACCAGTGGAATGAAAAATGGGATACATAATGCTGCAATTTACTGTAAGAGGATGAGATTGTTATCTTTTGTACACAAAGTTACAAAATTCTGAAACTATTAGATGTAAAATTAGATGCCCAAGGTGGCAGTCACTTCCCTAATGAAATTCGAGAAAATTTTCTGGAATTTTAAAGGTGTTCAATGATACACCCCTAGCCACTTGATTTAACGTATAATAGTAAGAGATGATTCTATGCTTTCCTCTTACTAAATATATAACTTTTCTTATCATAGTGAAGCCTATTTCAATATGTTAAAAAAAAAAAAAAAAAAAAGACCATCTTAGATAATGGGTTAACCCCAGTTTCTAAGATGCTAAACAGATCTACACAAAGTATTGATAAGACACAATTGACCTCATTCTTAAAGTGCTAGATAGAAAACCTTAATGCATGGTTTTACAAGTTTAATGCTACTATTTCTCCTAACTCCAAGCTTGGTTCTCACAAAATCATCCCTTTTTAGTGTAGTTGATTGCAGGGGGAATTGTCACAGGTGTGATTCTACACGGTGGGACCCATCTTGCTTGCGACTTCCCAAGGATCGTCGGATGCAACCATACCATTTTTCGACAGACAATCTACGAAAACTTTGGCCACCACCAACCTAGTTATGTTGAGATATTGGCAACCACCGAAGTGGCAACAGGAATATGTATGGTTGCTATGATGGTTGCAGCATTCTTAACCGCCACCCAATTGCCACGCCGAAATCCGGCAGCTTTGCCATGGCCATTCCGACGAATCACAGGCTTCAACGTCTTTTGGTACTCGCACCACTTGTTCATCTTGGTTTATGCATTGCTTATTGTGCATTCCATGCTCCTATTTTTTACCAAAGACAACATGGAGAAAACAGTGAGTTTTACATCCTTCTTGGTGTTTATTTCTATTTTTTTGAAAATTTTATGCTATTTCCAATTTCTCAATAATTAAAGTGATCATGAAATTGAATTCAAATATTGGGAGTTCTAGTTTTCATGTCACTTTTCTTTTGTTGTTTTTCCCTTCTTATTTCCCTTATTGTTTTCTTGAATTTTCTGTCTTTCCTTGTATTTTTTGCTTTTTTTGTTATTTTAACTTGTTATTCTAACGTACTGCGAAATCTGGACGCAGACATGGATGTATATTGCGATCCCTATAATTATATATGTCGGGGAAAGGATTATACGTATCAATCGATCAAATCACTATGACTGCAATGTTCTTGAGGTTTGCAAACTTCTTCATTTTTAATATTTTTTCAACAATCGAGAAACGTTTCCCTAAAGTGCATAAAATTTCATGTAAATTGCTTTAAAAACAAATTGTTTTCTCTATATTCCTTTTCAAATACCAAAATGAAAATTTTGAAAAATTTTGGGATATTCGTGCTCTATTTCGTTCATATTGATAAAATGGTTGATGTAATTCACCATTTTGTTGTTGTATTTGAGCTCTATGCAGGCTGTGATTTATCCTGGAAAAGTTCTATCATTGAAATTGAGAAAGCCAAAGGGATTTCATTATAGAAGCGGAATGTATGTTTTCCTACAATGTCCTCAGATTTCTCCATTTGAATGGTGAGCTTACATTTAATCCCAAAAAGCTTTATGAAATAAAAATTATATACAAAACATATAGGTAAAATCCTAGCTATGAATATGATAGACCCATAAATTATGGAATGTGATCTACTCAAACTTGCATTATTTTAGAAGCTAGAATGCCCTGTCAATTTATTGGGTTACAAAGCAGTACAGAATAAATAACATTCCTAATATGAGTACAGAGAAAAAGAAAAGATCCAGGTGTTTAGGCACTTAAAATCGTGTTTTTGCTTTTATGAGAATATACTCGGATTGGTCATTTACTTGAATGAGCAAATGTAACTTTTTCTAATTTTGGTAGTTCAGTAGTAGGAATCCAACTTGAGATGTAGAACTCGTAAATGTCAGCTGCTAATCACTTAAGCCAAGCCCAATTCCTATATAAAATTTGCTCATGCTGGAGTATAATACACATGCTTTTGAAATAAATAAAGTATTAAAAGACTAAAAAGAAGAGAGAGATTGTATACAATGAACCATTGACTTTTGAAACAAGGTGCTCACAATTACTTATGTGAAATTTGATAGCTTGGATGTGTCAAAAAGTTCGAGAAAATTTCTTTTAAAGTTTGAGTTTGATTAATGGAATAATTGCAGCCACCCAATTTCACATTCAATGGTCAAGATTAATGTGACCACCTTGTACCAAAAATAAGTGGTCTTATTCTATACTTTCCCAAGAAGAAAATAGAAATTCTATACTTTTCCAAGAAGAAAATAGAAAAACAATGAAACTTGCAAAAAATTGATGACATGCTTTTGGTGGATAGTCCTATTGACACCCCCAATATCTCAACCTTTTTTAATAATTTGAACCACAAAGCATAGTCTAATAATTTAATTAGAATTAAGTTTTGGAAGCTACATTTTGTTCTCATCATCAATTTTCTGTTTCAATCTTTCTATTATGTTTTGAAATGTCTAGGCATCCATTCTCATTGACATCAGCTCCAGATGACCCATATCTTGCTCTTCATATAAGAACCCTTGGGGATTGGACACATCAAATTTACAGCGTTTTTCAAGAGGTAATTAGTCCACAAATATATATGTTTTCACCTAGACAAATATAAGAGCCCTTGAATATGAGGAGGAATATGTTATTATATATAATAATAAGAGTAATTTATTAAAATTCGCTTACCATGAAAAATTTTGACAAAGTTTTATGTGGGAAAATATGCCTAACATATAAAATGTGTATCATTTTTTCCTTTTGCAACTATTTAAAGTCACGATCTTATGAAAATTTTTGACAAAGTATGCCTAACATGAAAATTATTGACAAAGTTTTATGTGGGAAAATACGTCTAACATATAAAATGTTTATCATTTTGTCCTATTGCAACTATTTAAAGTCACGATTTTGTGTAATTTTATGGATTTTTTGAAATTAAGTAAAAAAAAATGGGTAAAATGTTAAATGGTTCGCCTCTTAGGTGCATTTTGATAAATTTCCCTTGTATAAAATTATACAACAACTCTAAAATCTAGGCAATATCATTATGAGAAACAAGGAGCAATTTGTAGGAATCGATGATGCATATGCAAGCTAAGGTAATCGAGAAAATTGTTTTATGCAGCTGGACCGCATTTCTAAAATATGCGGTCCCAAGGTATAAAACATCCATTTTAAAAAACGGATGCAAATAGGTCGATCATCTAAAAACAATTGAAACTAATGGTCCAAATGTTGTCTTAATAGAATTATTATTTATAATTTTCAAAATTTATTTATTTTTTATATTCATGATCTCCATATTAGAGATTACATATCTTTAAATATCAAGTCCAAAAGTCCATCTCAAAAATAGGTTTTTAAGAGGCGACTCATTTCTATATGGACTCATAGAAACTGTGTCAAGTTATTGAGTCAGTGATTTATAATATTTAAATTTTAAGATAAATAAAAATTTTTGTCAATTTCATTTTATAAACATTTAGCACATTTATGTTTATGAGTGTGTAGGATGGAATTTCATATGTATTGCTATTAATTAAAACATATTCATTTGATATTTTAAAGTCTTGATAATTATTTGATAAATTCCTGATAAAAAGGTATAAAGCTCCCAGTCGATAATATCGTGACAACGATAACTATTAGATAAGGTCAAAACAAACACACGCTCTCGTGAATACAAGCGAGCATGCACACACACACATACACACATATACACACAGAAATGCACATATTATGGTTAAAGTTTGTGGCATGCATGAACAGACATCAAAATCCAGCACTGTAAAGTACCCGAGATTATTGATTGATGGACCGTATGGATCGGCATCGCAAGATCACATAAACTACGACATCGTCCTCCTTGTCGGCCTCGGCATTGGTGCAACTCCCTTCATCAGCGTCCTACACCACATTGTTCATGCTCTTCGTAGACCAAGTCCAGACATTGTAAGTTTTTTTTGGCCATATTAACAAATTTTGCCTTTTCTCCTCATTGGAATGTAGAGAAAATTCTTCTTAAAATGAACCTCCTTTTTCTTCTTTTTTTGAAATTTACTTTGCATTTTTAGAACTTCAAAAGATTTTTCAATTTTGAAAGAAAAAGCTAATTGTGAGAGTTTTTCAATGTATTTAAGGATAGATAAGTAAAGAACAAAGTTGTTCCTGTTTAGATTAAATTTCTTATTATTTGTCTTTGTTTAGATAAAAAATAAAATAAAATAAGAATAAAAAATCACAATTAGTGTCATGCTATTAGTAGCAAAAATCACTTTGTCCCTCGTTTCTTTACTAAAAATCACAAAAATAAGTATAAAAACTATGTAAAAGTATTGTTTTAAAATTAATATCAATATACTTAGACAAAATATAACATCTCAATATTCACATACTTTTGCAAAATATTGAAAATCCATAATTCACTACCCCCACTTTTAAAAAAATCTGAAAAAACAATATTTATAATGATTTTTAACACTGTTTTGAAAAAAACTTTAGGTCAAATCAGGCCAATCCAACCAATACACCAATCTAGATCTTTGATCTGCTATTCCATACCAATTTTTGGGATGGCAATCTAGGTCACTGATCCGTTTTTTTAAATATTGGTTTAGCCTAAGTTGGGAACTTGGGATACAAATACAATGACCAATAAGTGGGCATCCACTTCATCCCGTTTAATATATATTCTTCTTTGATATATATATATATATA